TGGGATGGGAAAGCGCAGGCATCGAGGCGGGCGGCGGGCGCGCTTTCCCGGTCGTCTTCCAAGAGGGCTTCTTTCCCTCCCAGCGGGCGCGCCCTCTTCGAAAGGCGGCCCGTTTCGGGGCGGGGGGGGGCAAAGGTTTCCTTCCCCGCTGGCGAAGGCCGACTTTAACTCCATTTCCGCGGCGCAGTGGTTCAGAGATGAAATATTTAAGGTCTCCGGCGTAAATCCCCTTGAAGTTACAGCCACAAGGTTGCGGAGCTCCGTGACGGAAGGGGGGGGGGAGACACAGAGGGAGCGAGAGCGAGAGCCGGGCACCCGATCGATGCGCTGAAAGCAGCGGCCTCCCCGCTGGCGAAGGCCGACTTTAACTCCATTTCCGCGGCGCAGTGGTTCAGAGATGAAATATTTAAGGTCTCCGGCGTAAATCCCCTTGAAGTTACAGCCACAAGGTTGCGGAGCTCCGTGACGGAAGGGGGGGGGGAGACACAGAGGGAGCGAGAGCGAGAGCCGGGCACCCGATCGATGCGCTGAAAGCAGCGGCCTTTCCCTAACGAAGCAGCGGCCTTTCCCCTAACGAGCAGCCCGCCCGGTCCCGCCCGGGTAGTCGGAGGGCTGCCGGGCTTGGCTTTCGGACAAGCTGATTTGGGCAGGGCTTGGCCGTCGCTGAACCGTGGCGGCGGTTCCGAGGAAAGACGGCAAAGCCGACGAGCGACGAGCGGGAGCGGAGGCCTCCTTGACGCTAGTCGAGGTCCTCCGAGGCGGAGAGACCACCAACAAGCTCACGACCAGAGGCCTTTCTCGGCAGATGCGGGGCATCGTCTGCGGGCGACGGGCCAGGACCTGAGACGATGCGGCGCTCGGAAGGGAGCTGATGCGCTGCCTCCTCTGCTTGCCATTAACAGGGAAGAAACTAATCACCGGTTGTCTTCCACCCCTCCCACCAGACAGGAATGACTAAAAAAAAAAGGCTCTTTTTGCTTGCATCAAGGTTTCAGGGGAAAGTTGCACCCTTTACTACTACAGTACTTGTAGTTTATTATTAGTTGATGAGGATGATGTCAGGCCGCAGGACCGGCCGACGGATACGTTGAAGCCGCGTTTCGCCAGCTCCGGCAGCCTAATTGGTTGATTGTAGTGCCTCTTCTGTTTCAATTACTTTTGATTGATGCCGGGCTCTGGGTCGACCCTTCGGGGCCGCCGCCATCCCAGGAACGAGCCGGAAGCGGCTGCTTCGCTGCAGAAGCAAATCTCCCCCCCCCCCGGCCAGGTCGAGTGGGACTTGCGGGCGTTGCGCCGGC